TCACAGGAAGAAGTAAAGGGAATAGACAAGACAGAAGAAACAGCAATGTTTTCTTCTCTCTTACCCTATTCTTTGAGCATTCCACTCTCAGTGCTATTTCCAACCATTTTTTTGTTGTTGTTTAATTTCTAAATGCTATTATATAAATGTAGCCTTCCTCTTTCTCAGTTCCATTACAAGATACCTTTTTAAAATACATAGTCTTTGGGGAAAACAAATGACACATTTTAGCAATTTGATCTTTCTCATATGATTTACAGTCTCGTACTTCATACTTAAAGTTTCTAATCCTTTTGACCATTTGTGCTATCATTACCACTTTGAAATTTGCTACAGTTTATTTTTTAAAACAAGTGATAAGTAAAGGATAAATAATCAGTCTAGTATTTTATGGGCGATCCCCTGCTCCCTGCCTTTTGGTTCTTTACCAGTGAATAAGATCATTGACAAACAGTATTTATGGAAGAAACATTAAGAGAAATAACAGGCATTTTCTACTCTGTATAGGATAAAAGAGATAGCCAGAGTAGGGCTCAGATTATAGGGAAAATTATTCTCTAATATAATAAAAAAAAGAATTAACTGTTCATTTTTATTTAAGCTGACACTTGATCATTTAAATACCTCCTATTAAAACAAATCTTATGCAGTGCTTTTACTGTCTTGATATGAATTCTAAAGATAACATGATCCACCTACTTCTAAGATTGCTAAATTATTATAATGCTTTAGTTAACATATAGAAGGAATAAAAGAAAAGTAACTCATAATAAAAATAATACCCACGTCAATATTTAAAGTGCCCTAGAAAATATACATAAGAAGGCATGATATAGTAGTCAGATACTTAGTCCTGTACATAAAATCACCATGGATTCAACAGCTACAAATGCAGGCTGATGCAGGTGTGTTTATTGACAGCTCAACTTTCATGGGCAGTGATGCCATCAGGGATGAGATTTTTCTCATATGGTAAACCACTCTTGGTAATTGTATAAACCACTCTTGGTTATTAATATTCTGAACAACGTAAAGTATAAAATCCCTTCAATTTACATGGTAGTTGGATTCCTGGAAAATTCTGTATATGTTAAAATGATGCCAAAAGTACTTTGAGATTATTTGTTAAACACATCTAAATTCTGAGCCCATATAATTATAAACAGGGTTTTTAACTACATGAATAGCTGGCGGAACATTTGAAAACCATGTGGGATACAAAACAATCCTTCATCGTGCTCTACTGCCCTGCAAACTGTAGGATTTCCACCATCTCTGGCCTTCTTCTGCTAAATGCCAATAGTTCTTTCCAATCATCTTGACCACCAGAAATACCCCTACACATTTCCAAAATGCCCCAGAGACCATTGCCATGCCCACTAAGAATCACTTATTGGGACTGAACAAAGGCCCATTTTTGCCATGAAGCACTGGGAACCAGTACGTTTTATTTTGATACTGAATTGATTCTATGGATCAGAAAACTGAATTTGCCCCAAAGGTGAATTATCCAGAAAGAACAAGCCTGCCAATCCAAAAAGATAAAAAAATCACTCCCTGAGAACGTGGCAGGTATTTAACATGGAAACCCTTTATTCTGTACATTGTGGGAACCCCTCTAGATTATGTAAAGGGGGTCTGAAAAATGGAAAGTAGTTCATAGTCCCTAAAAAGATGAGGTTTTGATTAGGGTAAAGTTGTGATAGAGATGAGACCATGGTTATACATAATGTTGTCACTGCAAAATGGAATAATTTTCCATATTACCCACCCATCACTGTAGCTTATCAATAAGTGGCTCCTTTTTTGATTGGCCTAAAATTTCCACTTTTATATCCTTTTATGAATAGATATTGTAATGGCCCAGTGTTTCTGTCCTCATGTAGTTTGCCTAAAGTAGTGTATTTTTTAGCTACTGGAAAGCTGCTCTCAAAAGTTTCCGTTTTCTAAGCATTCTATAGGTAGATATTCATATTAATTTATAAATATTTTCATTGAACTTTGGCTCAGACCTTTCGAAAATGGTCTCCAAACATGTTCGTGAAATGTGTATATGCAGCCCCAGATGGATATGCAATTACCTAACTTGCAGATGTTATTTTAAAAAAATTATTAAAAACCTCCTTTGATAATTTTTGAAAAGAAAGCCATTTTTATATAAAATATTCATGTTACTACTCCTTATTTTAGGGAGACTTCTCCCTCCCCCGCTCTATTGTCTGTAATTCAGTTTCTACCCCACTTCACTTATTACCTTCACTCCTAGCAATTTCCCTTCCACTGACAGAGCACATACTCTCATAATTTATACTCTTAAATTGCAAGGGTGAATGTTGAGAGCCAGTGCAGGTACTCAGTTAACTCAGGGATTTTTGGTCTTTTCAGCCCAGGACTAGTCAAGCAGATAGTCATCATAAGCTAAAACTAAAAAGCCTTTGTAGTCATTTTATCACCAGGGAAATTTGTTCATCCTTCAGAAAGATTGTCACCAGGAAAGAAAAAATAAAGGAGTTAAATTGCTTCAGACCATTGACTCCTTAGGTCCCTCTAGATTCATAGATTGAATTGGTTTTCATGGGGTGGGAGGAATTATGAGAAGAATTCCCTGAGAAAGCTCACAAATTGATCATAGCCTTGGTAACACTACTAAGTGTAAGTGTGATCACTATGGAGGAAATGCCAAATGAGGCTGGAAGCATGGGAAATGAGAAGGAAAAGAAGACAATTAACACCTCTTTTTTTTTTCTTTCTTTCTTTCTTATTGTGTTTGGAAATGGGTGTTGCCATGTAGTGTGCATCTTCAAAAGACAGGAATACAATTGATTTTAAAGTATTTTATCATTGTAAGTGCAATTAGTTATTACTGAAGTGAAACTAGATCCGCAAGCACTGTAGAAATAGGAACAGGTATTGCATAAACCTATCCAGAAACTAGGCCCTCTCTCGATAGACCCACAAAATATTACTTCAAGTAGGTATGTCTGAGCATATCTAGAATGACTTACTACTTGGGTTTAGAGGATATAAATGCCTTCCAAATTCAAAAGAATTCTTTAAGATTGTCATAAGAATAAATCAGTGAGAATTACAATGATAAATATCTAGATGTTATGTATGTTTTAAGGAACTTGAAAGTTTATATATCTTTGATGCAGCCAGGCATATATACATACATATACACACATACATACATATATATACACATACATTTTCCCCCCAAGAATTCTATGAAGACTTGTCAAATTCAAGTCAGGCACTTCAGGTTATGCCAAAATAACCTATACTCATTTCTCTCTCCCACTGAATAACATTGAATTTTGCCAAAAATGTGTAAGCAAACAAGAAATGATCTCATTTTTGTTATCTGAATACAGTAGTGTTGGAGGATATTTTTCAAGGATATGACTTAAATAGTGGATCTAAGTTCCCAGTGCCAGTTCATAAAGCCAAATTGCAGAGGATAAGAGGATAGAGACCATCCTTGTGAGGGCACCTCTAAAGACCGGGGTTCTCTAGTAGGGCCAGTTCCCGTATCTAAGTCCCATGCACAGACTGTAGCTTTCTGCTCTCTGGTCGACTGCAGCCATAGCATCCTTATTGTTGTAACTCCCAGATTGTGATACTGTCACAAAACTGTTGCTAGGCAACAAATGTGGTTACCAGGTCTCAGCGAATAGCTGAAGGGGAAAGCAAAGTGTTGCACCATTGTAGAGTAACCATAGCAATGACCTACTATTACAGACTAAAGAATTATCATTAACAATGTTAAAGTATCAGACAGAGGCCCTGAATCCCAAGACTTTCAGGCAGTGTCTCTCTGCATAATTGAGTGATCTAGGAAGAGATTTCAACTGTTTCAAAGCTGTTCACTCATTTCTATGCTAGGAGTCTTTGCTGTTATTATTTTTATTTTTGTAATTAAACAAATGGTTGTTATGAAGAGGCTGGTGAAATGAAACGTTATCACAAGGAGTCGAAACAGATTTATATCCTCATTTGTTCTTATGTCTACATCATGTTAGTTTTTGCCTGTGTTAAACTGAAGGTAGGTTTGATTTGAAAAACACATTAGTATCAAATTGAAGCCACAAAAAAAGCTGTAGTAAAATAACCCAGTAAAGTGACAAACTAAACTTGTATTTTCTAAGTCGAATTCCTCCCGACAAAATAGAAGGCCTAGATGCTCTTTTTGTAGTCACTGCTTTTGAAACGCTTTTTTTTTAGCTTTTCTAAAACTGTCCCCTAAAGTCTGTAAAAATGTAGCCTCCCAGGGCAATTCTAGGGATAGTCTCCTTTCAATCTGAACCTTCATGAAGCATCCCATGTAATTTGGTCGCAGTGACCTCCCTGAGACAAATTATGTCTAACGGCACAGCTTCCAAGAGAGGCAAGAAAATTCCGATTTATTTTATTCTCTTGGGTAGCAGAGAAACGTGGGTGCTCCGGGGTGGGCGAAGAAGCCCGGTCCCGCGCGCAGGAGAAACCAATCCCCGCGCGCGCCCGCGCCCGCGCGCGCGCGCGCGCGGAGCCTGGGGAAGTGGGTGGTTTCGAGGCGGGAGAGGGAGTGGCCCTTCTCTCCGAGCGCCTCGATTGGCCCGGAGGGGCTGAGGCCCCGGGGCCGCCCGGCCGCGCCTCGGGCAACCCGCGGGGGGTGGCCCAGCCGCGTCCTCGCGTCGGGGGCGGGACGGGGCCTCGGGCCGGAGGCTGCGGAGGTCTCCGAGGGCCGCCCCGGGCGCCAGCTGCAGAGCAGCGGAGGAAGCAGACGTGGACAGTCCCGAGCCCTGGGGGCAAAGAGAGCCCTCGCGTACAGGTGTGGCCTGGAGAGGCCGCGTCCGGGCCTGGAGACGCGCTCCGGCTGGGGAGCGGGCGCAGGAGCTCGGGCCGGACGCGGGGGACGCGGGCTCCGAGGGCGGGGCTCGGGCTCCGGGAATGGCAGCCGGGCGGCCTGTGCCTTGTTACCGAGCGAGGCCGCCTCGTAACCGAATCTGTGTTTTTTGCAGGCACCGACCGTCACGAGCTAACTTCCTGGAAGAGCTTCCCGTCTATTTTCAAATTCTTTACCGAAGCCTCTGAGGCAAAGACCAGTTCCCTCAAGCCGGCTCTGACGCGGCGCTCCCACAGAATAAAGCACGAAGAGCTGTAAGAGGAGAACGAGCGAGACGGGGGAGGGGAAGCAAAGGCACCACACTCGAGCATGCATCCACACGTCTCCTAACTGCTTGTTGTCGGCGAGCAGACTCCCAGCCCCTCATTAGATTGTTTTCTTCCTAGAGCACAGGGTCGTGATATATACATCTAAATAGCGTTTTGCATTATTTCTAGATGAGTGCAACTGTCAAAGCAATATGGGTTCACTGGTCGCGCTTCCTGCGGGCTGAGCTCGGGCTACGCGCTGCCCGTCAGCGCGCAGATTAAGGCTGACAGCGCCCTGCCCGGCGCGGCCGGCGCGCTTCTAATTGCCCTGACGGAGCCCGCCCGGCACTGCGGGGCGAGCGGCGTCTGCGCGGTCCTACCGCCCGCTGCAGCGCAGCCGCTGCTTGCCCTGGCCCCCGGCCCCCCTCAATCATGTCCTTTTTTTTTTTTTTTTTTTTTTTTTTTTTTTTTTTTCCGCCGAGCAGAAGCAAACTTTTATTCTAGATTTCAAACTTCCATTTTAAGTAGGTCTCTCCTAAGAGCCTCTTGAGCCTTTTTTTTTTTTAAAGGAAGTTTCCCCCACCTCATCCCCTCAGAAAAGCCAAATTTAAATTCAAAACGTGAATGCAGTGATGTGCTATGTAGTCTTGGGAGTGCAAAGTGTTCTCTAACAATCTATTTTCATTTCGAGACCAGAAGAAAAACTTTGCATAAGAATCTATGAAGTACCGATTACACTTTACCGCTGAAAGATGCTTGCCAGTTGAATAGGAGATTTTTACACAAGTCTCTAATTTCAGAAGACGTTGTTTAAACCGAAACATAAATGATGAGCAAATCTTTTAAGTGTGAAAGGTCCCATTTTCAGTGGAATTCCTAACTTTATCATTAGAATTGACTTTACTTTTTAAATGTGTATTGAGTGGCATTGTAATTTAGATCGCACACTTGTTTTGCTTTTTAAATCTTAATGTGGACAAAGTTTGCTGTTGTGGATAATCCTAACTAGAATGATCTATTCTGATTCATGGAGTTCGATCCTTTTAGGGATAGTATTTTATGGTCATCAGGTGAATGAATCTTGTCCTCTTTCGCCTTTTCCTTCAGAGAGGCTGAGTGGGGCTAAGATTATTTTTTTTTAGTTTTCTGCTCCAACAGAAGGGGAAAGACCTAGTGTGAAAGATTTTTTCCTCTCAATCCAACGACATAATTTTTAGTAGTCCACTTCCTCTGCAGGGTTTTGCCCTACAGTTTCAACAATTACTGTAATCCAGCTAATATCTGGCCAACACTGTGAAATCTAGGAGGTAAAATAAGTTAAGATTTTGCTGACTTTTACATTCAAATATTAAATCTTAACATCAATTTTTAATTACTTGAATTTAGTTACTTAGTGAAGATTCTGTTTCTGGCAGATGAGGGTCTGAATTTAATATTTTTCATCCTTTTTTAAAGCGTATGCAACAATATGCCTGCCTTATTTAAGGACATGACAAAATGTACCCAAAACGACTTAGAACTGTCTGACTTCTCAGAAAAAAGAACTTAAAACAACCACCTCATGGATAAAATGTTTTTATATTACGAACCGATTTCAGCAAGTTTTAAAACTGAAAATATCTGTGTTTGGTATGCATTAATTCGTTCTTATACTTTTAATGATGGCAAATCAAAATGATCTTCTTTCAGTGGTCATATATGCATATCTTTTGATATTATTTTAGCAGAAACATTGTAGGAGAAAACATCAAAACGTCATTTTATCCAACTCCTGGATAACTTAAAATGTATCACCTCAACAGTGTCCATCCAGCGTGTTGGTCTGCAATCTTTTCTGTTTTAGAAGTAATGGTGAACTGTGTACAGTAATGGTACCTTCCTTTGAGAGGATATGAGAAGTGACGTGGATTGAATAATTATTCAAAGTGTTATAAACTGTGTGGTGTTTTCACTGTATGAAAGTATTCACAGGAGAGCTAGTCTTACTGCTTTTTTAAAAATCAACACTTGTACATTGCTAAATTTATGAAGCTTATGCACCTGAATTAGAGCAAAGTAAATATGCTCAGCTTATAAACTAAATCACTCCTGTCCCTTCTCTTCAGTTTTCTCACTTCTCTTTCTGAAAACTTTTACTTGCAACTAGAGTGAATCACTGTTTAATTGCCTTTAATACTTTAAAACTACTGGGTTGTTAGCCTTGTTTAACTGTCTATGGAGATCTCTTTGCAAACTTAAGTTGTGCAAATGTAATTTCTCCTTTTGGATCTGTGCTGTTGCAACCCGGAGAGAGCTGGGCACACCAGCCGAGACCTCCGACTGATGAGTGATAAGATTCCTTGTAATGGAAGATTTTTTTAACCTGTTGATTATGTGTCTGTTGGTATAAATGTAGTAATATAATCCACCTCAATTTTCCTGGAGTAACAACAGTCAGTTGGTAGTAACACGCCTGCTTGGAGGCGACAAGTGTTAACAGTATTTCTGCTCTGATCTTCCCATTTTGGTTTCTTTAGACAGGTTTTTAGCAGAGTAGAGGTTGAAAGTTAGGATGTAGGCTTTTTTAAAAATTATATACTCGGTTCTTAGAGCAAATGGAATGGGAAGCAAGGAGTTGTTGATAAATCTGAGATTCAAAATAGTCCTATTAAAACTTCGAAGCCAGATACTGGCTTTAGAACTTTATAAAGGTATCTGACCACGTAGCCGGTAAAAGTTTTCATGGATATTTGAAGGGGGTGGGGGAATCTATTTGTAGTAATAATTGTTCTTTCCTCAAGTTTCTGCCTTGTGCTTCGACCTGGATTGCATTATTGTTTATACAAAAAAAAAAGGAAAGCACAGGAGTTTCATATATATTATATATTTCTGTTTACCATTTTAAAATAAAAACAATTTTCCCAACAAGCCTCAGCGTATTCTTGCTCAGAAGTTCATCTATTCATGTATAGGGGTTAATAAAAGCAGAAACATAAAAAGAATGGTGGGACAGCATTCATCAATATTTTAAACTGCATCGCTGCTTTTATTACTGTTGCTGTAAGGTAATATCCTAACTTAACTTGATCACTCACTATTTGGCTTGGACCTTTCACAAAGCTAACAGTTTTTAAGATGTTTGTTTTTAATATCTAAAATATCTCCTGAGCTACAAGGAAATCTGAAGCCATTGTTAAGCTATCATTTTATAAAATATACTTTAATATACTGTAAACAAATGTTTTCCAAAAACAGTCTAGTGACATTAAATTGCTCCCAAGTCCCTATATAAGTCCTTGGTGTATTATGTCTAATCTGAAAATATCCTGTTTACACATATTTTACAGCCTTCCTTTCTTTAAAACCTGTAACTCCTTTGAGAGAGTGTGAGTGACAAAATATGTTAACTGTATTATCAGGGCTAATAAGTTAAATTTCTACACATTTCTCTGGATTACCTGGAGTCCCAATCCAAACACATGTGTCTCCGGTTACAATCATAGTTTTATAACTGTAAACTGACAGGTTTCTATAATCCTGGTTCACTTAAGAAAGATTACTATTACAGAAAGTCTAAAAATTTCTCAAAAACTTTCCCCATGCCGTTATAGGGAAAAAATGTCTTTAAATAAATGTGAGACATTCTCATCTTTGAAATATGGGTGGCAAAAAAAACCGATAATGTGGTTATTTTATGATTACTTATTAGGGGCTGTAATAATATAAAATAAAAGACTCCAGGAGGTACTCCCTTTCAAAAATTGAATACTTTCCTTCCTTCCTTCCTTGTATAGAGTGACTGAGTGGGAGTCTCTTGAATTGTTCGTCTTCCTTTTATCTAATATTCTATTAATCTCCAAAAAGATCAGTTTGAGTCTGGGAAAGGGTTTTTAATCAACACTTCACAGAGTTTAAAGCTACCCTACCTAAAGCGTCAGCTTTGTTAGGCGGTTTTAGATTTAAAGCATTGCAACTGTCATGCACTGTACTAAAAGTAAAGAATGTACACCAAGTGGAAGATGTTGAAAAGAGGGAAATAGCACAAAGTCGATTAACGGAGATTCGAGAATAGAAGTAGCCATCAAAGCATTCCAACGTTTATCTTGAAATCTATGTAGAGTTAAAAAAAAAAAAAAAGCAACAATGATAGTTTTAAACCTCACACTTAGGAGGGATGAATGTTGATTTAATTGATTCATTTGGATCAATGTTTTTAAAGTTTCACACCACTGATCTTTCATGTAGTGATGTCTTTAGCAGTCAGTGGTCTGACATGAGCCTTCTCAGATTTCATCAGTGGGACTCTCCATGACATCTAAAATTATGCAACAGCCTGTGCAGTGGTAACTTTGGAATTGGGAGACCTCGATGCCAGAGAGCATGGTCATATTTAAGAACTCTTGTTAATGCTTAGCACAAAGGTTTTAGGGAGTGGTAATTGTAAATGAACCATAAAGGTTAAAGTGACCAAATATTATATAGTGGGCTTTAATTGCTAGATAGGAGAAAATCATCCTGAAAGTTTGACCATTAAGTGGATGTCGTGCAGTGCCCAGTATTTTCCCCTTTAATGGAAAAACTGGAAAATGGAAATTTGACTTAACCCATGAGGCCTTCCAGGCAACTTTTCCCAGCCCTTTGCCTTGAGATTTGTGGAAAGCATTTCACTATATTCTTTGTATTGTTGGGTTGAGTTCTGTTTGAAATATACATGAAACATGTTTCTAGAAAAATCTAGAGAGGCCCTTCATCTTTCTTTCTAGAGCATTCAGCTTTTCTTCCTTGGCTATTACATAGGGTAATATGGGAGACTGTCATAGGTAAAATAATGTTGAACTGTACTTTGTAACCAGCTTGCAGTACCAATACAAAGAATCTGAAATGAAAAGACAACCAACACCCCAAGAATGATATGTCTCTTTTTAAAGTTTACAATTTGAATAATGAACTTGGATAGAAACTTGGCAGGAAAACAAACCATGGCACCATCACATCACCAACCATTTTCACTTTTCTGTCCAATTTCAGAGT